TTGATTGACATATTTATCTCCAAAATATAGATTTTACAATGGATATTGCAACTGTTTGAAAGTTAAGGACAAATGCTGTGCACAAATTTGAAAATGTCATAGAGTCATAACAATTAAGGACAGAGGGACAACCAATTTAGTCTGATCTTTTATATATCACAGGTCACCAACATCATCCAGCAGTCAAACACTTAACCCAACAACTGAAATTAGATCTGGGCATTACAGCAGCAGGAGGCTAAACCACTGTGTGCCAAAAGTAGGGAACAGGTGAGACAAATGTGATCAATAGTGTTACATATTGGTATAAAGATTATTTGATATATACCCATAATACAAAAAAAGAAATCTCATTATTTAGATTATTTCAGTTATTTCTTTTTTTAAAAAGCGACTGTTTAGGAAGGAGCACTGCAGAAAGGATCTAGGTGTAAGCGGGGGAATGGTCCCGCTATTGTGGGGAACTTTCCTGGCTTCTATACCACCCCGGTGAAATGGACCAGCAGAAAGATCTGAGTCCCCGCTCCCACTTCCTTTACCCCACATCTCCCTGATCCTGAGGGCTCCCCCTCCACTCTCCTGAGTAGCAGAGTCCTCGAAACCCCAACAAGGCTGGGCCCAGGTTTCCTGGGGCTTAATCCCCGACCTTGCAGTCAATAGGGGCAGGAGTTAGGGTGTCCCCACTCCGAGGTGCTCTCTTTACACTGCATGCTTTCTTGGCCCAGTGATCTTTTCATAAGGTTCAAAGCAAATACAATGTATTAAACATCAACTGGTTAAAGAGAAAAGAATAAGAAAAAATGAGAATGCTTAAATGAGAACACACAGCCCTGCTCTGTAGCACAGGGACATCAAAACAGCAGTCTGCAGAGTGTAAGGACAGTCCACAGTCTCTTCCTTATAGGCCCCTTAGAGGCCCTGGATGTGCTGCAGGGGGGCTGCAGGCTGGACACACTTGCTCTGGTAGTGACCACACAGCCTCAAGCTCTAAGTGGCCAGACCCCTCTCCCAGTCTGGCCTGCTCGGCCTCTTGGCTGGTCTCCCTGCCCAGAGCCTCTCCCCACACTTTGCTGGTCCCAGCTGCTCACCACACCCAGCTGTAGGCTGTGCTGCCTTAGTCTCCAGCTCCTTACGTTGCTTCTCTGTCCCTTTTGGCTTCTCTGAGCACTGCCAGTCTGCTGCTCAACACTGGGTCTGTGCTCCTTGAGCTGTGTGTGTCTGGCTAACGCAAGCCCCTGTACTTAGGGCCCCAGGCTGGGACCCAGAGAGGGGGCAGGACCGGGTCCCCCTCCCACCTCCCAAACACCCCTGCCCCCAGTGGAACCGCGACTACCCCTCACCGGTTACGAAGGCCGGACACGAACCAGGGTTTGCTGATCCCCCCCCCTCACATCTATCAGGCGGAAAAGGGGTGATCGCACCCAAAGAATAGAAAACTAGCCTAAGGGCTGGAACTACACACCCAGACACGAGGCGGAGGGGGCCGCAGACCCCCCCTACCAACTGGTAGGGAGTGATCGCACCCCCCTAGAACACTCACAGACATCTATCAGGGATGATGTAGATAGTGCTTGGTCCTGCTATGAAGGCAGGGGACTGGACCTGATGACTTCTCGGGGTCCCTTCCAGTTCTGATATTCTATGATTCTGTTTACACAGCAACAGACTACATCCGTGGCAAACCAGGATATGAATCTATAGCTCACCACTTACTAACATAGCACTGTCCCATGTGGACACTGCTACAGCACATTAAGGATACATCTACACTGTGATAACAGATCAACAGCACAACCACGGCTGGTCTGAGTCAGCTGACCTATCCTCTGACAAGTGGTGCTGCAATTTTTTTATTGTAATCTGGACATACTCTGAAAATCCTGAAATGTTGCTTGACTCACAACTACCTGCTCTGTAGTGTTAGACAGTATTTTCCTGAGACTGATAGGCCCAAATTCTGTCAGAACAGTTTGGCAAGGTAGTACTTTTGTTTCTTGCTTGGCTTTTACAACACCTTTTCATGGACTATGGCTGATTGAACTGATATTGGTGAAGTAAAAACAGAGCTCTTCAGGTGTGGAGGGACTACTTTTCTGAGGTCTGCTGCAAACACTGAAAGTCAGTCAGTTTATTCACTATCGGAATAGCTATTTTGAATTTAACATACAAGATGTATTGTGATTTTTAGTAGGGTTTTTTTTGGGAGGAGGTTTTATTGCTGTGGAAAGACACATTTTAAAATGGACCTACTGCTGTTACTGGTCTTGAACTGCATGGGTTTTGTGTAAGACATCTGGTACTCTAATCTTCTGAATTTGTGCCTCATTTGATATTATTTGTGCACGAACCATTGTTGTCTGTGAAGAAAGCTAATGTTTGCAGGCTAATATGTTAATCTTTTCAGAGCTTATTACGATCTATGAAGTACATCATTTCAAAAAATTATACCAAATGGAAAACAGCCACTTAATCAGATTGCTGTATTTATGGCTACCACATTTAAGATGGACAGCAACTGAGCTAAGCTTACTTTTGATTCCCTCCTAACATATCTCACTTCCTTTGCCCCACCATGCTCCTTCCTTACAAAAATGAGACTGAAAATAGTGAGAGTCTGTATTCCACTACAAAGGAGCAGTGACCGAAAGAGAGGACTGAGCTATAAGACATGTATCTAAAGCCATATGGATAATAGGAAGAAAGTAACTAAGGGTACGTCTACACAGCACCATTATTTCAAAATACTAGCATTATTTTGAAATAACTTAGTCTACATCTATACAGCAGGCAGTTTCTTCAAAATAATGTTGAAATACAGTCCAGCTGGAAGACATCTTACTCTGACTCTTGTGTAACCCTTCTACCAGGCCGAGTAAATAGCAGCAAGGGCCGGGTTCAGTATCTAGGGGTCTCCTCCCAACAAGGTAATACAACAGCGGCTCGAGCCCCCACCCAGTGACCTGGAAAATCTTACATACACCTCTGGGTGTGTCAAAGAGGCAAGTCTTCCCCTCTCGCAAGCACAGAGCCTCAGTATAGCAGCAAACCTTTTATAACATGAGGTAACCGACATCAGCATTAAATTGGGAAAACACCACAACGGATTTACAGACCAAACATGAGCAAAGGCCCTCCCCCCAGCCACAAATCCTCCAAAGTCCCAAAAGTCCAACACCCCAAAAGTCTCTGCCCCGGGTCAGTGCCGCCCCAGGGTTCAAAAGTTCACCCGGCAGGGTTTCACCATCCCAACCTGGAGGGGTGGGGATCGATACACCTTACGTGGCCCGCCGATGGCTCTGCCTCTCCAATGGCTCTGCCCCCGCCGATGGCCCTGCCTCTCCAATTGCCCTGCCTCTC